CGGCTTGGGAACTTGGGTACGATTGGAGAAGGTCATCTATGAGCACCCCCGCTCGCCCGATCAAAGATCGGCCTGTACTAAACATGATATCTTATTTTTGAAAACACATGTGTTCTTATTCCGGTTTATTAGCCTAGAATTACTATGTGATGCGCACAACACACAAGTATAGACTGGATCGCCTAAATTAGAACAAAACATTTCATGTTTGTTTGTTTGAAAATGGTTTGAAGGTGCTACTCGCAAGTAGGCTAAGACATGGATTTGCCACCCTCAAGTGGGCTTAAGAAAACATGATTTTGCCACTCTCAAGTAGGCTTAAAACTCGTATTTCGATGAATTGTTCTAATTCAAGTAATCTAACCTTCACCCACAGGCATTCAGGCAGTTATATCATATAAGCAATTAGCCTCATGGCAAGCATGCTTTCATGGCGGCATTCATACTCATGCAGAATGCTAAAGCATAAAAGCTTACCTCGTACTTTGAGCCAAAACAAAAGGTAGTTAGTAATCAATGCATGATCCTAGCTCATGTTAAGATGGCTAATGCAACACATGCAAAATGCAAATAGAGATAGGCTCGGCTATTCTAAAATATCATGTGAAATGCAACACTTGATACACGTATTCAAGTTGAAATTGAAATACTATGCAATTAGTATGATGCGCTGAGCCCGGTGCGTGCAATACGAATGAATGTATGCAAACATGTTAACTTAAGTATGCTAATTGAAACATGACCTAAAACTAACCACCAAAAGCAGGTAAGTAAAATGGAGAAAGACGTGGGGTTGGAAGACATTCACACACGCACGCACACTTATTACAAATTCGCCCTCTCGACGGAGGGTCCGAAAGAATAATACAAATTGACTAATTAACTAACTAACTAGCTAATTAATTATTACACAACACTTAACTAATTAAACAAATTAATTAAGCTACTAAAGCGGTAAAGAGGCCTTGGAAAGAGGGACAAATGCATGCATGCTCAGCTCTGCTCGAAAAGCTATCGCCATGCTCATGCTGCCTCTGTTTACACTGCTCTGCACCTCTGAAAACTGTCCAAGTCTCAAGGATGCTTCTGAATCACCTTCTAGGTGCTTTGAGAGGCCATCGGCCAAGTGGAAAGGACACCGGCCAAGGGGAACTAGTCATTGACCAATAATAGAGCTCTCGGCCATAAATTGGTAGCCGACTAGCACTGAAGATGGCTGACCGGCCATCTCTCCCTACAGAATGTCATTTGCTGCAGCAGAGGACAAACAAAGCATGTCAATGCATTTTCAAGGCAATGTGTGCACAAACACCCTCCCTATCATGTCATGAACTCAAGGGAGTATGGTTCTCGACCCTCGGGCCATCAATCACGCATTTCAATGCATGATGGCCAAAGGAGCCAAGTGTGCAAATCAATATGGAATGAATGCAGAAAACACATGAAGGCCTCACACTCTATCATGTTGGATCAATAGCGTCAGCGACTAAGAATTGAGGCACGTTTTGTCACTTCAAGTACGAACGTTCCTCGCTCCTCGTGTTTGGTTTGACACCCCAAACCAAACACAATGCAATGCATGCAACCAAGTACAATGCAACATGGAAATGCAAGGCAATGTAACATGAGCATGACAAATGCCATGCAATGCAACCTAACATGTAAACAACATGGTATGCAGTAAATATGTAATACTACTATGCATCCTAGATATGCAAACATACAATGTGATAAGCATGCAACAATGATACCAACAATAAGTATGCAACAACATGCAATGCGATAGGCATACAACAATACACAAACCGCATGATCCGTGGACTTACACTGAAGATGGATAAGCCTCAGCCATACCAAAACAGTGGCCAAAATGATGAAGTGATAGAATGAAACGCACAATGAGCATGCACATGCAATGGTCCAAGAGTTAAGGCATAAAGTCACAACACTCAAACATTAGTGAGGGGTGACAATCATGGTAGTATAGTGACACCATAAGCTCTGAAATTATGTTAAGAGTGATGCCAAATCAAACACATAACACAAGCAAGGCATGCTAATGGACTTCAAGTTCAAAGCTAACCAAGGTACTTGAACCATGGCAATATCAACCAAGCCCCAAAGGACTAAGGTGACCCAAAACAGTCCCAAGGCGGTCCAAAACAAGGCTAGAACATGCATGGGATGAGGCCAAAACATGTTAGAAAGGTGAGCACAAAACAAGACGCATACAAGGCCAAAAGGGGCAATTGCACTACACCTATTACAACCAAACATAGCATGACTTAGGCCAATAAAATCAGAGTTATAATATGTCAAAATATGCCCCAAAACTCAATGAGATGGCATCCCAAAGGCCTAAGTATGATGGCATGCACAATGACCTATTCTTAAGGCATGAAACATAAACTATCCAAAGCATGGAATAGGTGATAAATGCAAGTGTGTGACCATGAAACATGGACTGAAATTACATTTCACATGATGCCAAATCATGAAAATACTTCAAGTAACACATGCTAATGAACTCAAGGCACAAAGCTTACAAGCTAGAATGAACCAAGGCTATGCAAAACAATGCATGCATGACCAAGAGAACACCGAACAAAGTTTAATCATGGTAAAACATGAGGGAAAGCACCTTGGAGTCGAGCCAAAACATGCAAGAATAGTGGTCCAAATACAAGATGCATGTTATGCAAACATATAAGATTACTCTACAAGTATGTGAAGCATGCAATCTGCCATCAAACCAACATGGAATAGAGTTAAGGCAGGTCCTAAAAGCCACTGAAAAGTGCTGAAATAGAACCAAGACATGCTAAGTAAACATGCTACTCTTATAAGCCAACAACACAAGCATATGAGACATAAGGAGAGAGGGGTGTCCCCCTCCTATACAAGACTCCAAAACCACTTCTCCACCACTAAAAATCCTCTAGATTTCAGTGGTGGGAAGGTCAAAATAAGATGATCCCAAAGCTCAAAAGTAAAGGCACAAAACAAGGCCAAACAAGGCCTAAGAGGGGGTAGCCAACCCCTAACCAAAAAGTGACCTTAAGCAACCATAACAAGCATACAAAATCAGAACTTTTTGTAGTTTAGAGTCAAGCTTGAAACAATATAGAAGTATGTGTAAAAGCTTATGCAAGAATGGGGTATCTAAAGTTTAGAATCTCACCTTTGAAGAACAACTTCAAGAACACATGACTAGCAACTCTCTCTGATCAAAACCAGCTCAAGAACCTTAAAACCAACCTCCTAGTACCTCAGCACACAAGGATGGTGTAACTCTAGGTGTTCTAGTGCAAAAGTATGGACAAAATGCACTTTAGAACACAAATGCACACACAAATATAGAGAGAGGGAGATATAGAGAGAGAGATATATCTAACTTGTATATCAGATTTTCTAGAACCCCTGGAAAGGGAGAGGAGGCTCTCCTTTTATAGAAAACCAATTTTGCAAAGCTTCTTGGAGTAGCTAAGCAAGGCTCAAATCCCTCCATACACGTGTATAGAGGGAGAAATTGTGTGTGCTGGCACAAAATATCTGCCAAAAGTAGATGGAAAGGGGTCGGCCGGAAAATATGGCCGATTGACCAACAAAGGTGGCCGACCGACCAAATATAGTGCCGATCGGCCAACACTGATGGCTGATGGCAAGAAAAAGGGACCGACGGCTTCAAGCCTTGGCTGATGGGTTGAGGGGATGGCTAACAAGCCACCCTCTTCCCTCATAAGCAAAAACACAAGTGCTTGGTTAAAATAGTCAAGTTGAGAGATCTTGAGGCAAGGTGCGTGGCCAAGACCTCCGGGAACTCAAAACGAACATGAGCATAGATGATCATCGAGTGTTCAAACGATGACGTCCAAGTCTTGAGGACGGTAAAAAATGGGGTGTCTACACTTGGGGTCGACACTAGCCTTCCTAAGGGTCGACCCTTGCATGTTGTCATGTTTTCTGGCAGTATTGTTGGAAAATAGGGTAGACACCAGCCTTCCTAAGGGTCGACCCTTACATGTTGGTAGAGTTTCTGGAAGTATTGTTGGAAAATAAGGTAGACACAGTCTGGGGAGGGTCAACCCTCTTATATTGCAGAATTTTCGTGTTAGTTGCTGGAAAATAGGGTCGACCCCCTCCTGTCTAAGGGTCGACCCCCTTGCTTGTACCAGATTGCATTTTTTGCATAAAGGGTCGACCCCCCTTGCCCAAAGGGTCGACCCCTGTGTGTTTTTTTTTTCCAGATTTTTGGGTTGGTTTGGGCCCTACTTTTTGGGAGTTTTGATTTGTTCCTTTCATTTGACTTTGAGGCTATTATTCTATTATTTCCTTGCTTCTATAAATAGGTTGCAAACATATTTTATTTCACTTTTTCTTCCCTTTCCTCTCTCTAAAATCGTGAGTTCTTTTCTCTCTCTCTAAACTCAAGCTTTTGGCACTAAGATGCCTAGATCTACTCACCTAGAGTGATCTACTCACCTAGAGTGATCTTCTCACCATGGTCCTTTGAGAAAAAGTGTAGATCTCGTACAGGGCATCCTTTTGGTCCGAAGAGTTCGTGATTTCGTTGCCATTGATGTTTGGGTCGTTATCTCTTGGCTTCAAGAGGAAGGGGTCTCTAGTTCTCTTTCAATACCCTCGTTATGGATAGATTTGTGGTATTTTCTTTATATAAACACAAAAGTTTATATTTTTATGCATATTGTGATGAATAACGAGATTGGGGGTTAGCGCCTGAAGGGAGTTGGGTTTATTTGTTGGGTTATGATCTTGGGTCGTGAGTTTGGGTGTAAAAGTAATAGAAGGGTTGAAACAAAATGTGTTTTGTGAAAAGCTCTAATTTCTCTTAAAAACCCTAGTTTGGCTTATGAAGATGGTTAATGATTTTGCTTCAATTAATAATAGAATCAAGAAATTGAGGTGTTAAATTACACATGTACAAGTTTAATTAAAATTTTAAAGAATTTGAGAAATGTATGTAAATGTTGCAATTGAACTCATAATGTTGATGTCTTAAATTATCTTATAATGTGAACCAAACTTGGGGGAAAGGAAATTACTAATGGTATGGATGATATGAGCTTTGTGTTGAAATGCCTGCACTTGCAATTATTTTAGAAGCAAAATGTTTGCAAGGGAAAAACTTCCGCCCGTGCGGGATGACCCGCCACACGTGTGATTCTGGGTTCCTTTGATAGTTCGAAATTTAGCAACCTCAAAGCTTGTTTCTTCCATCTTCTTAGGCTAGGGCTTACGTACCTTGACCTAAAAATATATAAAGTTAATAGAAAACATAGAATTATAATTGTTTTCCAAATCAAAACATCAAAAAAACATAATGAAATCCCAAGATTTATACATCAAAATTGTTGTTCAAGGTAAGAAATCCTTGAACATGATTTTCTTCAAACTTACCTTCAAAACTTCATTTCCTTTCTGTTTAGAACATGATTTCAAATGTGCAAACTCCTTGAAAATCCAAAGAAGATATGGAAATAAAGATTTATATGCATTAAAAACATCAAAACCTACATCGAAAGGTTGGAATTCCTAAGCTATAGTCTTGTTCTTCATTTTAACTTCATCTTCTTCATTCTTCCTCTCAATTCTCCATTGCTAAACCAAATTGATCCTAGTTTCTTCCTAATGTTAGAAGGATTTATTACAAGAATTAAGGGTAAAATCTTACCTTGGAACACTTCTTTGATGGATTTGAGCTTGGTTCCCTTGAGTTCTTTCTTTTTCTCATTCCTTTCTTTCTTCTCCTTTTTTTTTTCTCCTTCTCTTCAACTTTGCAGATTTCCTAGTTATTTGTTTGATTTGTACATGAGCTTTTATTTGGTGTGGTATGGCAAAGGTTGCAACTTCATTAGTTTGCTAATCTTGTTTACTTAGTTTAGCTAATCTAGGTTAGAACTAATTAATCAAGGTTTATACTTAATCATACTTAAGTTAATTAATCCTAATTAAGGTTCACTAATCATACTTAATTATCACTAATCCTAATTAGCAAAATAACACATAGCATGAAATGGTCAAGTTCATTAGAGCAAGATCTTTAAACTCCTCACTTAAGGCATAAGCACACCTCCTAACTCAAAGCACATAACAAACAACTCCTATTCATAACTTTTCAAGCTTTTTCTTCTTCTCATCCTATTGTTAGTAACCCCTAATTCACACAAGTACATAACATATAACATGAATGCATAAATAATAGAATATACACAATGCATAAATGGTTTGGTTGTCATACCTCCACACCATAAGTCTCAATCAACTCAGTGTGCATAGCTTCAAGAGTCATCCCTAGATTACCCTTAAGAGTTTTCTGATTTTTTAGCTATCCGTACTGATGTTGCTTCAGAATTTCTCTCAACTCTCACACAAGTATTGGTCAGTGTCACGATCCGAACCTGCCCCTAGAGATTTGGATCATAACCGGCTAATAATCATGAGATTACCTATGACTTCAGATAGAAATTCAAAACATAATTAAATATATGGGGCCAGAAGCGGAAGTAGAATAATAAATTTGTCCAATGAGCTATGCATATATGATATAAACAAAAAGATTTATACGCTAATAACTCACATTCATACAAACACACTCTGATTATACATTCATTTCAAACTTCATGTACAAAGCTTAAACAAAAAGGTATCATTCAAGAACTTACAAACTTAAACTTCTTAAAAACAAAAGATGGTCAAACATGACCAATAAAAGAAAACAAAAGACAAAAGCCTCTTATGAGAGGTGTTTTATGGCTGACATCACAAAAACTTGGGTAATCTTCCACATTGTTCACTAAGGCTTGACATCCCACTGCTCACCTATATACATATATAATAGAGTGAGCAAAAGCTCAGTGAATAACATCAGAATAAAGATGTTACGCGAATGAGTTCTATTATTTAATATAATTATTCTCATATTCAAATTATGGTCATAGCAGAATGACCTCGGGCCCAAAACTTGACAGAACAACCTTTAGTCCAACATATTACAGAAGTAAAGAACAGAACAGATCATACTTGGCGGAATGACCTTGGGTCCAATCAATTACAGCTGTATATTGACCATTTGGTCAACACATAATAGATATTTTAGACTCATCAAATAATCAGAACGACCTTGGGTCCATCACATACATTCGTACTTCGTCAATCACATTTACAAATATCATGTTGATCGGACACATAGAAGGCTCATTCATACTTTCAAAATCACAAGTACAAAAAAACTTACTACATTGAAACAATCACAAAATAGAATATAAGAAAATATCTTTATGAAGATCACAGCGATTAAGTTGTTATCACGTCTCCGTGGATCAACCTACATAACACAAACACATACACACATTGGAACACATTTCTTAATGAGTCATTCTTAACTTATCCAATTCTTTCAAGTTCAATTCTAACTTATTAATTCATTTGGAGGCTCAATTGATGCGTAAGAATGCTCAGAAAAGAATGAGAATGAAGATATGAACATATTACAACCTTTTTAAACATGCTAAAACAGGACACCTTGCTCGAGTGCACTAGTGGTCGTTTGAGTAGACCACATGGTCTAAAAAAGTAATGAATGCTCAAAATCTAGGCTTGACGGTCGCTCAAGCCATGTGCAAAATGAACTGAGGTTGGTCAAGCAGTAACTTGGTTGCTCGAGCTATGTGTAATGTTCTGCAAAAATACTGGGAGGTCTCATTATGCGCTTGAGCGATGAGGTCGAATTCTGGATTTTCAAACATGAAGAAAAATGCTCCAAACTTGATTTCAAAGCCAAAAACTCTTGCATGACATGTTCTAAACCATGAATACATCTCCAAAACATGAACACAAAGTCAATTCCAAACCCTTAGCTCAAATCTTCATAAATTCTACAAAATTGAAGCTTAAAATTTTATGCTTGTATGAATTTGTCCAAAACTCTTTTCCACAACTCTCAAAATATGAAATTAAGCTTTAAAACATTGTGAATCATGGATGCATGAATGTTAAATCTCTCAATTTAAACTTAGATAACAAAATCATGCTAACAAATGATGAAACTCCTCAAAATCATGCATGCATGTATACTAGCTTTCAAATTCATCAACTTCTAACTCAATTCTTGTGCTTAAGTTCATTATCTTCTTGAATTCACATGCTAGGTGGCTTTAATTCATGAATTAAGAATTAAACACTTACCTAGGGTCGTGAGTTAAGCTTATACTTGTAAAATCTTGCACCTCTCTTCTCAAATCTTCAAGTTTAAGCCTTTCTCTCTCTAAATTTAAACACGCTCTCACTCTAGAATGTATCTCAATAGAATTTTGAGCTCATCAATGTGTTTAGCTTCTAACCTAACATATATATATATATGCACATGTGATTAGCTTAGGATGCTAATTAAGGATTAGGCTTACTAATTGCAACTTAAGGTAATTAATCAAAACTTAATTTTTCTAAACTGAATTAAATTTTAATCAAACTTCTCAATAGGTTCTAAAAATTATGGTAACCTAATTATACTCATCAATTTTGGTTTCTGAAATCATTAAGGCTTTTAATTTCAGATTTAAAGTAGAAATCACAACATATACTTCATCAACAAACATATATGCATACAATTACACATTAAGCACATAATTAGCATTCAAAATTAAATAGTTATATGTATATTACGTGATGGTTTATCACAGTTAGGCCCTGATGACTTAATTTTGAAAGTTATTCCATCAGGAAAGGGTGATGCATGGATTCCCTAGTTGCACCCCAAAGTACCACAATGTGCTGTCACTCTAACTCTCTCATTCTTCACTTTTACCAATGTAAACCCCCTCTCAATGGCATATTCCCTCAAAACAGCCCTAAAGTGGGAGACATCTTCAAACAACATACTGTTCTCCAATTAATATTTTCTCCTTTAATCTTACACATTTTTCCCTTCATAAACCTATCAACATTTATAGCTTGTACATCTTCCTCACCACTAGAATAGTTCCCTACCCTATCATCTGACTCATAGTCTAATAGTCCGCCAACATCAGCAAGGTTCCCATCATCATCCCTAACTTCTTGCTCAGAACTACTGCTGTCATCATGCTCACCTTCTTCACCATTCCATTCTTCATCTTCTTTAGAATTAGAAAATACATAAACTTCTTCTTCATATCCTCACAATTAACAATCTCATCATCACCTAGCTCATTCCTAGGGGTATACAAAGACCCGAATCACTGGACGAAACTGACCAATCCGAACCGAAAAATCAATTCACGGACAGTTTCATAGTGAGAAACGGTCGACTGCGGGTGATTTTAATAAAAAAAATTCAACTTTTAGGATGGGCTACGGTTCAGTATATATTGAAACCGATAAAAACCAACCCGACCGATATTTATCACTCATGTGTTGATAATATTGGCTATCCATATTCCTATTATCTACAAGCAATTATAACCTGACAGTGGACAATGACTTTTTAGCATTTGATTTTAACATATATCCTAACAATGAGTTGTCTCCCTCTCTCTCCTTATGTATCTTCTATTCTCATACCTCTTCAATTTTCTCTCATTTCCATGCATTCACCTCTCTGTTTCTCTCCTCCCAAAATAAAATAATTATTCATATCTCTTTAGTTCTTTTACTCTCTCTCTCTTCTATCTCCTCAAAAAAAAAAAATGATTATTTTGATTTTCAAAACCCATCATTGAATCTTACTCCCTCATGTCTCTTCAAGTATTTCTCTCTCTCTCTCTCTCCCCTCCCACACTCCCCCTCTCCCTCCCAAAAAATAAATAAAAAATCCTTTATCTATTTTGATTATTTCAATTTCCAGAAGTCATCCATAACTCGAAGGTAAAGGGACAAATCCTAAACTGTGTTATTCTTGGTGAAAGTTGATATTAAATAGCGACCATTCAAAAATCCCTCAACAAAACGGTTGAACAATTTAATGATTCTTGGTGAGTCTTCTTATTTCATCACCTTTGTTATTCTATGATTTCTTCCTCCCTCAAGAAGCATTCCTTGAAACCTTTCTGGTTTTTTTTTTCTTCTATGTTTTGGTGTTTATGTTTTTCAGCGACCCATCGACTTGACCGAGACCGACTGCAAAATCGAATCTCTCTCATGGTTGATTTCGAACACTGCATCGGTCAAAAGTGGTGGATTACTTCATTAACCCGCCATGGGTCGGGTCAGTTGCCAGATTGACTAGAAAACTGACTCGATCCGACCCGTGAACAACCCTACTCATTCCGATCCACATTAGTATAAATATCCAAGCTTCTAAACAATTCATCAACTATAGTAGACCCAGACTGAAAACCTATAGTAGACCTATTACTACTCTCATGTTGCATAGGCCTGTTAGTCTCATGGGTCTCATCCAAGCCCACAGTAGCTATGCCATCAAGCCCATATGACCTGAAGTTTGTTCAACTTCAAAATAAATTGGAATCTCCTTAATTCCTATATATAATCCAAACATCCTAAAGAGATCTTTGTCAGATCTTAGTTCAATTTTCACTTCTGACCTGGGAACCAAACCATATAAGTCCACTGTAGTTGCATGAATTGCAGGGACATTACTTAATGCAACCTCACAACTATAATCAATTAAATCCATATGGATGTACTTGTCTGGGTCTACATTTAGAATGTGAGCAACAGACCCTTGATAATGAACCACAATATCATGCCTCATTTCTGTATCCATTTCCTAATATAACAAAGCAAATAATGGAAAATAATGTGCACAATTTAAGAACACAATAATAACCCCATAGTGCAAAATTAGTTGAAAAACCCTAAATAAAATTACTGAAAACAATAATAAACCCTAAAACATTCATGACATTATAAACTTTATACATACTGAAACTCAACATTTATAACTTCAAACAAAAAAAATCATCCCTTAGAAGTACGTGGATAAGGGTTGTACAATCCCTAGTCAACCAAATTTAAGGAAAACGATGTTTCTATACAAATTGTATTGTACAAATCAAACTAGAAAATAACCCATTTCATTATCTTTAACTTCTCAAATCAAAACACACAAAACCATATATGAACATAAAAACACCAAATACTATCAAAATTGCTAACATGTGTACAAAAACCCTAATAAAAAATCATGGATAGAAAAATGCAATAAAAGACATTCCATACATAAAACCAAGTAAAAAAGCCATTTTCAACTTCCCTAACCATGAAACTTAGTGACAAGAACATAGCATCTTACCTAGACCAATTGTTCCAGGAAAAAACCGGACCATGTGAAGCCTCTTCGCGAAGTAAATGGAGAAGAAAACCACGACGTATACCTTCTTCTTTGTCTTCAATTGGAATAGCCAAACTTCTCTCTTTTCTCTATAGACTTATGTGTCTTCTCTTCTCCCGCCAGCTCATCTATTTGCCAATACTGGGTTGTGTTGGGTAAAAACCACATAAGGATAACATTGTCATTTTCTCTGAAACCCTAACAACAAAATATCAACATTATTTTATAAATTTCTAAATGTAAAGGTTTAGGGGCAAAAATGTCTTTTTGATACTGACATTAATTCCGTCTAAATAATAATTACACTAACAGGGGGTCAATATAATTTTCCAAATGTCAGGAGTAATATATATTAAACCTAAACCTCAGGAGGTTTTGGTGTAATTTACTCAAAAAATTTATAGAAAATTACTTTTTTGCCACTTAATCTCTATGGGTCCGTTTGTTTTCCTTCATAACAGTCTGGAGTGGACAGTGAATGATGAACAGTGAAACAATATTATGTTTGTTTTGGAAATGGAGATCCGAATTAGTAGTCCCTTCGAATTATAAAAGGTCTCAGCAGAGCAGATTATGAGTATAGGTGAGAAGGTAGTATTAGAAAGTAGTCTATTCAACTTAGGGTGTTACCAAACATTCGGGTGACATTCGATCGATCAATCGACCAAGTGCTTTATTTATTTATTTCTTTCTTTTACATGTTAGACAACACATTTTGAACATTAATATTTAATATTTTTATATTTTTCATTAAGCAAAAACCATAATTTTATTTATTTTATTATTATATATTTATTTTATATAAAAAATAACTTAACAATCTCACGCTAATAATTATTATCAAAATATGGCTCCGTTTGCCAAGAGCTAAACGGGATTTTTTTGACTATTTTAACCACAAAAGACAAAATATGCTATTTTAACCACAAAAAATAAAATATCGCATCCAACCCATAATCATTACATTCTTCTCTCACAAAAAAAGTCAAAAAAATTAAAAAAATTAAAAAATCCTTCCCAACCAAACTTTTTAATCTAGACTAAAATAACCCAAAAAACCAAAAAATCAAAAAGCAACCCCACTTCCACGGAGGCTATATAATTTTACTTCGTCATCTCGATATCCATCCATTTCCATCTGCCTCCTAAAACAAAAACGGGACCTCCAATCGAAGCACAAGCAATTGTTTATCATCACACTCATCACATAGCTACTCTTTCTAGAGAGTGAAGGCCGAGATGGGGTTGAGAAAACTGAAAGAATTGATGAGCATAGCCAAAGAAGGACTCGATAAATCCTTCATGGTTGCAAAGTTCTTCTGTGCCCTTCACGTCATCAACGCCTACCTCTGCACTCCTGCTCTGGTAAGAGACAACCCTTCCTTCAAATCCTTGAAACAAATTACCCAAAAAAAAAAAACAAAAAAAAAGGGTCAAGAGGTTTAGAGAATGTAATGAACCGGGTGGTTGCAGACGCAGGGTCCTAGTATGCTGCCGACATTCAGTCTGACGGGTGATCTGATCTTGGCCGAGCGAATCTCGACCCGTTTTGGCAAGGTGGTTCCCGGCGATATCGTCCTTGTTCGCTCATCGGAGAACCCGAGGAAGATTGTCGCCAAGCGTGTGAAGGGCATGGAGGGTGATTCTGTCACCTACGTTGTCGACCCAAATAACAGTGATAGACGCGATACTTTTGTTGTATGATCTATCTGATTTTTTCATTTTCATCTTCATTTTTTGGTTTTTGATTCAAAGGGGTTTCAAGGTTTTTCGCTTTCTTTGTTCGTCAGTTTAGTTTTCCTTTGTCAATGGGTTTAAGGGTTTTTGCTAGTCTGATTTTTGATTAATCTCTGTCTATTTGATTGTTAATCTTCTGTTTAATGGGTATTTATGAGATTGTTTTATTTTGCTTTTCTACTACCAATCCCAGCCCTGAATCACTAAATCTCTCTCTCTCTCTCTCTCTCTCTCTCTCTCTCTGTAGGTTCCAAAAGGGCATGTTTGGATAGAGGGAGATAATATATATGCTTCTAATGATTCCAGAAAGTTTGGAGCTGTTCCTTATGGTCTGATTCAAAGCAGAGTGTTTTGGAGAGTGAGTGGTTCCTCTTTATTTCATCTCCTCTGAAGCTCATAAGGCTGAAACTAATTTGTTTTCGTTAACGACAAGCATTTTGAAGCTCATGTAATATTAAATAAATACTGTTTGTGACACCAAAAATGCTCTCTTTATTGTTCATGTCATAATTCAATCTCCGTGTTCATCGTGGTTGATAACTGAAACTACCAAGCTTTCTCTAAAGCATTTAAATTTAAGTTGGGTTCTAGAAGAGATTTTAATTGAAGACATTATTATAGCGACTTGATTTGAGAGGAGATTTTATGTATTTGAACTGTGCTCCACTTGGTTTAGTTGTGAAATCATTTGAGAAACTTTTGACTGTGAGCTAAAACTTTCCATTGTTGAACTGAAGCCCTATTGTTTGACATGCTTCAAGATTTCTACGATGTACAAGTTCTTTCACCCATGAACCTGACAAATGATTCCGCAACCTTCCTTTTCAACTTCATTTTAATTGCTTATTTGAGCCCAAGTCCAAAACTTTATATGTAAAGCTTGTTTTCTTTCTTCGAAATTGTTTAGTTGCTGTTGAGTCAACTTGTTGAAAATGTGATTGCAAATGACATAACTGTTTCTGTTATAGTGTTGTAGTTTGCCTTTATATCCTTTCTCTTTATTATCTCATAGTTGGACTTTTGAGAAAACTTTAAATAGAAAACCCCATACCAATTCTAAATAACCTAGTGAAATAATAGTCCAATCCTGCATAACTAGGAAGCTTGGATAGCTCTGTCAGACCTACATGTTAGATGTTTTAGACATGTTTGGAACATGGACACACTTTGACATCTGAAAAAGTGTCCAAAATTATTTGTCATAGTTGTGGCGACACAGTGAGGACATGTTTTAGTTTCACATATTTTCATCTTCATTTTTTATTTATTTAAAATTCCACATATTTTCTGAAGTTAATCCATTTTGTCTATAGGTATGGCCACCTAAAGATTTTGGATCAGTGGGATGAAAGGGAGAGTAAAATGATTCTGTTTCGTAAGGTACAATATTAAGCTCTTCATTCTGTCAAATTTCCATTTGAGATCTTTGCAATACTGATTTTCAGTTTTTGCTAACATTCCATAATGTGAGACATTGTTGTAAAGCAACTACTATTGTTTGCAGAAGGGATAAAAAGAGCATAAATCAGATTGTTCCTTTTAGTAACTATAAGTGAAGTTCTCTTGCTGTGCTATTTTTTTCTTGAAAATCCTATAAAAAAAATTGGTGATGTAGCTTTTTCAACAGTTGATTTTCTCAGTTTGCTATATCATGGCTGATTGGATCGTCTGTGTCTGGAATTTATCATGACGATGTATCTTTCAGCAGTTGATTTTCTCAGTTTGCCGTTATCTGAAGGAAGTAATTTTGGCAAGGCAAACTTGCTTCACTTTAGTTCACCTACCTTGAGCTCCATAAAAAGTTGATGTAGGACAGAACTGTGGAATGATACTGCCTACAATTTGTTTTATGGTGAGATTGGCTTGTTGGTTTGTTAGTATAGGGCTTACAAAACTGTCAAGAAGAAGAGGGCTGCTTTTTTTCGATGTAACGTAACCTTGGTTTTTGTTTGTATAAGTTAAAATTTTAGTAGAAGTGTTTCATAAGTTTGAATATTTGATGGAGACCAGGAGTGCATCTATGAAAGTAGGATTTTTTTGAGGGGCCTGACAATGTAAAGTAGTACTTTAAATGTAAGAAAAAGTTTATTAAGACTTGGTTTTATTTAGTGTGTAAAAAGTTAAGGAAGGAGATGAAGATCCCAGGGATGCCTTCTGTGGGTTGTCACCTTCAAGTTTAGGGTTGCATTGCAAGAGTCTTAAGAGAGTAGTAACAGATTTTGAGAATTCTTCCAACTGATGTCCACTGAAATAGTACATATATATGTGCACATATATACATAGGCTGTCAATGTCTACTAAGACCCTTGTGATGATGACTAATAATATTCTACTAGACCACAATTCTAACATTCGAAACTTTTCAAACCTTGACGGGCGAAAACCATTTAAATCCACTGAAGACCATATGTAAAGCCTTGTTAATAGAATCATACCAAAAGTAAGACCTCGGGACCACCACTATTGTCAATGTTAGCGATCAACTTGTCCCCGGGCACGTGTCGTCCCCTGTAACACACACTAGTTAATTATCAGGATAAATCCCGGGGGTGGCCTCTAGGAGGATGCTTTGAAGTTGGGACCTCTGCTTCTTGAGGTAGGTTCTTGGCCATCACATCAACTACTTATGGTTGGGGAAATTAGATTATGAACAAAAATAAAGCTAAAGTACTTTTAACTCGTAGAAGCTTCCAAAAGAATATACAAAATTTAACCACCAATTTACCTTAAATTTGATTATGCATGTTCCCAATTCCAAAGTGAGACGTGCCTTTAACTAAAACTAATTTGTAAGAGTTTTGATGTAGGATGAGTAGGGATTACTTTCCTATAAGTAGTGAACTTGGTTAAGTATACAGGCAGCAACAACAATAGACTTATAGGATTGGATTTGGTGAGATTTTGTAGCTACAAAAGTATTTAAAAAATAGGAGTTAAAGACTTTGTAAAAGGGTAGGGTTTTGGGAATAAAAACACAAGTATTTAGGGAATGTTGGGTGGCTGTTCTGAGCACTGTGAACAATAACCTTGTTAGATAGAAGAAGAGAGAGAGAGAGAGAGAAGGGGGGGAGAGGGAGGGAGCGAGATGCTTCACCCTCGCAAGGGATAGGCCAATTTTTCATAATATTAACTCTTCTTTGAATTATTGAGATTACACATCTATTTTTAGGCTAAAGACTCCTAATTCTATTAGGACTATAGCTCAAATTTAGAAACTAAAAATATTTAGCAACTATTAATATTCTAGATCAACTATGACTTCCCATTCTACTTCAATCATAATAGGAAATTTTGATGACTTCTAATTCTACTCCAATATTAAAATAAGAAAGTTGGACTTTTGACCATTAAGATTATTTTAGACATAATAAAGCCCATATATAATGACTCGTTTAATAACTTGATCCCAAATAAAATCCATGGGTAACCCGTACAACCCATGTCCAATAATTATTGGAATTACCATTATATCCTTAATTATTAAAATCTACTATAATGACATGAAGACTGAAAAGTATTCAAAATCTTTAATTCTTGATGCCTTAAATGTGCTTCACATGAAATTCCAGATTTGCTCTTTTCCTTCTTTTCATAATCTTCATCATTCTCCCCTGCATTCGAAAACAGTCGACCTAGAGTTTTATAATGTTGAAGTATATGGATTATGGAACCTTGCACTTGCAACCATCTTGAACGAATGATGAGAAAATCAGAAAGTTCAATCTTGTCATCACTCCATTGACCATATCGAATTTATTAGGAATAATAAACTCAATGTGAACTTCATTTTTCTTGTGAAGAGCAGAAAGTTCAATGGCATTCTCATAATTTTCTTTGGCTTCCTTGACTTTAGAAACTTAATGATGATGGTCTTTCATACTTTCTTTAGTAAGCAAATTAATTTTTGCCTTCGTTTCTTTAATATTCTCAGTATTACCGATATGTTCATCTTGCTCTTTCGTAGTTTCTTCAAAATCTTCAACACTATCATCCTTTTGCTCTTGGATATTAGTCTTCTCTAAAACAGTAGCCAACAATCTTTCCATGGAAGTTTTCAATCCATTCAAAGTTGTCTAGATAGTATGCGCATCACTCTTTATTCTTGCAACATCCTCCTTAATTATCGCAAAATCCTCCTTTAATATCGCAACATCTTTCTTGGATAGTATGCCATCTTCAATAATCATCTCTCCAACAAAGTGAACGCTAAATTCTTCCTTCCTATTACTAAAGCTAGCTGAACCAATGGAATAAATTATATATAAAAAGATGTATCTCACTCTGGAAACATGGATATATTGATGAACATATCTCAAAATATGAGTATTGTTTCAAATAAATTGGAGAACTCAGTAAAACTATTAAATACTGTGGGAAATACTAATGTATTGGGGTCTTGAAAATGAAGGATATATTGGAGGCATTATGGAATGCTTGAATTATTGATAATTAATAATTTCTCAATTGGAAGCCGTGACTTGGAGCGATGACAAGTGCTATACACTCGTAGCATGAGTTCAAGTAATGAGAATTAGCTTCTCCACAAAAAAGTGGAAGGAAGACTCTCTGCCTGTTACCGCTCCTAGGCCATGTTGTGCGTGAGTGTCTTGTGCGCTAGGTAAACTTCTGAATTAGCTATCTTGCAAAACGTGGTGTAAGAGCATCCCCAATGGTCTGTTATATCATGTGCCATTGCCAAAATTTGGCAAGAGTCTCCAAATACATTGTCCCACCCAGTGGGCTACTATGACATCTGCCAAATTTTGGCAATGCCATTTCTTCTGCCAAATTTGGCAGCAAGTTTGGCATTGCCAAACCTTGCCACATCAGCAGAGTAACTAATTTTTGCTCCAAGTTTCCCAACTACAAACAAACAATCAATCAGAAATCCAATAAAGAACACAATTTGAACAACATAGAAATTTGAACAACACTGATTAACAAAATCAACATGAAATAAAACTATCGATTTTAACAAAATATTATCATAAAATTAACACAAACAAATAAAGGAATATATATATGTATCATATCTTAAAATATTTTCATCCAGTTGCAGATTCAGTTTTTCGACGTCGATCTAGTGAAAATTGTGATGGTAACTTCATCATCAGATTGTGATCATCAGATCCTTCATCTTGTCATAAAATGGTTTCACAGTGGGTTTTGAAGATCATGACTTGATATATATATACATAGAGAGAGAGAGAGAGAGTTGTATGATAAACAAATTGAGGTCGAGTTCATGGGGTTTCAATCTTGATCTAAGATCCGGACATTCAATTATGGAGAAGATTGTTGTGATTCTGGGGCATGGGGAGTGGAGGGGGGCTGAGGGGGTGGGATTTGCAAGTGGTTCATGAGTGGGTGGGATTTGCAGGGAAGGGGTGGCTGGTGAGGGAGTGGGCTGAGGAGAAGGGGAAGGCGAAGAGAGAGGAGAGAGGGAAAGGGGCAAGAGTGAAAAACACAGATCTTTTGCAATTATTTTTTGACTTCCTACCCCTAGTGTAATTAAAATTGATTCCTAATGTTTTTGGGAAATTTAGTCAAAAGTCCCTTGACATAATTGTGTAGTATTTAAAGGACAATTGAATATTTTTTAATGTATAAAATCCTTCAAATTTATTTCTCATGGATTGAGGACGTAAAAAAACATATGCCTTTTTATTTTAGAGGATTTTGCCCTCTTTATCTTCTATTACTTTTTTTTTCCCCCCATTCCAATCATCAACGTGATAAAGTCTCTCTCTCTCTCTCTCTCCTATATATGTATATATACTTAAATCTATATATATATCGTCTTCAACGTTCCAAGTTGAAAATTTCTACAAGATTACAAGAGATGGTTCCACAATCAAGTCGTAGAACTTCGATGACTCTATATTTCGAATGTTGTTTGCTGTATTTCGATGATTGTTTGGATCGAAAATTGCAATTGAGTCATACAAGAGACATATATTTTGTTTATTTCTTTGGATGAAAAAGTGAATAATTTGTTCAAGGTTTTTTCAAATAAGATTAAGATTGAATAATGTGTATTTCATTTGTTATGATTTTTTTAATTGAATCTAATTGAATAATTTTTTTTTTTGTTGTTGTTAGATTAACTTTACTTTGATTTGTTTTGGTAATATGTGGCTTATGTTTTATTTGCTGAAGCTCTGTTTAAAAGTGACAATAAAATTCTACTCTGATTTGATAATCTGTGTTTTGTTGGTTGATAATCTGTTTTAAATTAACAGTAAAATTTACACTGTTAATATTATCGTTTCATTGTTTCAATAAATTTTTTACTTAATATTTATACTTCAAGCAGTAACAGTTACATTGACTATGGTTTTTAGTAATGATTATGGTATTTCACTATTTAAATGCTAAAAATTCACATTAAAATTTACTGTGAATTAGAATAAAATTTTACTGTTGATGTTAATTTTGACAATAACAATTTTACTATTTTTTTTATTATTATTAAAGAATTTCATGGTCAGCATAGATCTTATTTGATAGATCTCAATAAGAGAATTCTAAAAATACAAATTTATTTAAAACTTGACATTTAGATAAAAAGTTGTATCATTTTAAAGTTTGAAATATGAAATTAGTCACTAAGGATATTTTGGTAATAGTGGTATATGTTAGCCTTTTCAAGGAAATTTTTTTATACTTGTCTTTAATATATGAAAGTTTTGTTAGAGGGAGCTTTGACTAGAAGTCCCCAATGTTTTTGTAATTTTTTCATCTAAATCATGCTTTTTATAAAAAATTTTGCTGAACTTCATTTTTTTTGTAATTTTTCGATAAAAATAAAAGAGTAACATATTGTTTCTACCTTTCGAGTAGCACATTGTTGCATCAAATTTGTTTCCCAAATGATATTGGACATGAAATCAACACCTCATAGAATTATTTCAAAATTATGATACAAGCAGGTTTTATATTTACTTGGTGAATTCAGCCAACATTATTACCAATTCTCTTTCTTCATGGATTAAAAGGATGATGTGAGGCATGGAGATCAAAATGTGTGGATAAGGGATTGGGAATGGTTGAATTATGGAGATTTAAGCCAAAGATATTGTTGCAAGGGATGATAAAAAAAAAAGTTAGCTGTTGGCACAATACATGGTTGCAGGGAGACTGATCTTAAGTTTGGTTTTTGGAGTAGTCATAGTATATAAGTAGATGAGGAAGCATAAATAGCAAACTTTAGTCTGTTTATCCATTTTGTTGCCTCATTTATGTAAATGGTGGTGGTATGCAGGAACGGAACGTCTTGGAGCCGAAATTGAGCTGAGAAGAGTTTCGATCCACAAGTAGATTGACAACAGTTTGGTTGATCCTGAAGTTCCATATGGAAAGACAAGACAAAAGACACAGACAAGAGAAGAAACTCTAGTAGGACAATTGGTGAAGAAGTTACATCATTTGACAAAAGGCAATAGTAGAAACGGAAATCTGATAAAAATCAATTCCTACAGCGTTTGCAGTTTTTATTTTCTGTTCTTCCATTGTAGTGTTAGTTCCGTTTATGGTTGGATTTTGCATTAATACACAATATTTGATATTTTTTTTTTAAATTTTCTTTTGAGTAACCAGTCACTTCTCATTTTTTAGAATTGTTTTGTCGTTGGTTTTCTCTCACCTTGAGAGCAGCATCTTATCCATTTTGTGTATTTATTTAATTTACATCTTTAAGAATAGAGAGAGTACTGCATCTATTCCACTCCTCTAAGGGCCCGTTTGTTTTCAGAGGTAGAGTGGAGGGGATTCGTTCCACTCCTCTGCATCCATTCCAATCATTCCTCTATCTCTCAAAACAAACGGGGCCTAAATGCCTTGTAAGTAAGCCCAGCAAGCAGGCAGGACAGGGTGTTTTGGTTAGGTCATTGATTACTCAGGGCCTTCCTCTGTTCAGTTCCCCCTTTTATCTAATCCTCACTAGTCAAGTTGTCACCACCCAATACCACCCCCAAGGCAGGGGACACATTTATTTTCTCAAAATAATCAAAGATACTAGATTGATGTTTGTTGTCTGTAAGGTCACCATTTGACTATAAAATTGTTATATATGTAGAAACAAGGCACGTATTTATTTGTCTTGTTTCATCACATAAAATGATTTGCTTATCTAAACACATTCATATCCTCCTAATTTCTGGTCAAAACATTGTTTAGCAAGATCTTTCAATTTTATTGTGACAAGTTCTGTGCAGTTTAACTTTGAAAAATCTAATCCTCCTAGTTTGCAAACCAATCCATAGTGATTCACTAGGACTAAGCCACCAGGATTCAAAATCTTTGCTAACCACCAGGATTCAAAACTCTGGAACATTAACTAAATTGAGTCTACTTAACAATTTAAGGAAAATTACTCATGATTGACTATTGAAAAAAATAACTCGACAATTTAAGGAAAGAGAATATGTTAGTTTTTTTTCTATTAAAAATTGCAAGGGAATTGGAATTAAATGAGTAAATTTGTAATAAATCCGAACTAAGGAGAGCATAAGGGTTTCAATGGATATTTTTTGTTGGTAAGAAATCCATCATTTGTGAAATAATTGGGGGAAAAGTTATTTTGTTTGCTTTGAAAGATATTTTGTTTCCAATTTTATTCCTTAATTTATCTGTTGATTTTTTTTATCTGTTGACTTTTTTTTTTTTTTTGACTATTTGTTCAAATTATTTTTTATCTATTCAAATTTTCTTGACTATCCGTTCAAATTATATCTATATGTTGAATTTTTTTCCTTATCTATTTAATTTTTCCATATGTTCAAATTTATATCTATCTATTGAATTTTTTTCCCCTTATCTGTTTAATTTTTTCCTTATCTGTTGATTTCACGAGCCTATTTTTTTTATATATGTTTTTTTTTTCCCCCTTTATGTTTATCTGTTGAAATCCAAATATGTTCAAATTCAACTTTGGATTTCAACACAGGTTTGGATTTCAAATCCAACACAGATCTGGATTGATTCAAGTCTATGAAGTATTGAAGATGTAAAGGTAAAGAAGACACGCAACAACAGAAGAAAATCATGGAGTCAACACTTAGACAAAAATGCAGAAATTAAATTAAAAAACTTAGTGTGATTACATCAATAGGCACGTCGGCCAACAAGAGTAGAGTCATTGTTCAGAAACAAAAAACTAAAGACAATAAGTAAAGAAGTCTATGCTTCTGGAGGGTCTTTGAGGACTTCGGTCTTAGTTATGTGGCAGTGGTGGTTGGGGTGTCAAATATAGGTTTTGGCAAGAAGGAACACTTGAGTACTTGGTTCTTGAAAGCTGACGAGTCATGATCTCGGTTGGGAGCATTCTCCAGCATGTCGTTTAGCAATTGAATCCGAGTTATTTGGATGGAGGATAAGAGTCCTAGGTAATGGCAGACTCTTTAAGTGAGGACTCATAAGAGAGTTAATCTTAATCCAAATTAAAGAAGTCTTAGATAAGTGATATCTTTGTTTGGGATAGAACCCTGTGAGGTAAGACTTCTAAGAGAATTGGACGCTAGTCATTATATAAGGAAGGCACCTCTGTGGGTCTCCGTGGGTCTAAGGTTCGCTTTATTTGAGAGTTGTTTACTTGAGCTTAGATCTTAGAGAGATTGTTGACTAACTTGATTGTTAGAGTGTACCCGGGTGGATAAGCCACCGGTCTTGTTGTCTTTCTATGTACAAGTATTGGATTTCTTTATTCAAGCACGTGTTTTATGAGGTCATATTTCAACACCCACAACAGCCTTCAAAGTTACTGCCGCAACACTTAGCAAAATTATATAACACGTGATCAAGGAGTGATTTTGAATAGTGAAAGAACATAAGAGTATGAAGTAGAGGACATAGAGGAATATGCTTCAACACAAGAATGGAAATGAAAAGGAAAATAAAAAAAGTGGGTAGATATATGACTACATTACAAGGTCTTCGACACAAATCAAAGATACATATTTATATTTTTTGTTGTCATTTTTTATTTTAGGAGTAGTTGTAACTTAGATGTATTTTCTACATTTCCTTCACCGCAAGTTTGTTTTGAAGCCATATGAGAGAAGACATAATTTAATGGTTATTTTGATTGTTTACTTAATCATTTTTCTTCATCTCTTTCTCTTCTTGTTTTTCTATTCATTTTTCGCTATGCTTGGCAATAATTTTTTTTCATTGAGACAACAAAACCGTCAACACATTCACATGACTATTTGTTTGAAATTTAATTTGTAAGAATTTTTCAATCTGTACTTGCACGCTCACATTTATGGGGGTTTTTTTTTTTTTTTGATAAAAAAAAAGAAGCCAAACACCATAGTAGTTTTATTTTTTCAAATTCCAAGTTCCATATCAACAATAGTGTGGGTTGGTCGAAGTTATAGTTTTTCAATTTTTTTTAACTTTTTTTTTAATTTTTAAATTTGATATAGGGCCCATTCAAGTGACTAATAATGTGAATGCATTTAATATTGTTCCTTGAAAGAGTTTAATTTTCTAATAATTTACCAAGGATAACAGATTTTCTTCTAATTTTCAGGGTCTATACATTAATTATTAGTAGATTCACTAACTTTCATATTTAATAAGGCAATCACAAAAGGAGAAGTGCAGATTCTGGAGCCAAAAAAATATCATTGTAAAAATAGCAGTACTAACATTATATAAACCCCCTTTGCGTGTACTTGCATATATCTCATCCTTCTTACTGAGAAGTTTATTCACAAAAGAGTTTCTCGCTTTTTCTTTAATCATGGAGAGGAAGCAAACCCAAGGCCGAAAGAAGATTGAAATGAAGATGATAGCCAATGAAAACGCAAGAAGGATTACCTTCTCAAAGCGTAGACATGGGCTTTTCAAGAAAGCAAGCGAGCTCAGTACCTTATGTGGAGTAGATATGGCCATTGTCCTCTTCTCCATGGGAGGCAAGGCTTTCTCTTTTGGAAAACCTAATGTTGACTCGATTGTAGACCGCTTTCTGAACCAAAATGCGCAACCAAGTGAAGGCGTCTCCAGCCATGCCACCCGGCACTATGATGCCACTGTGCACCAACTCAACCAACAATTCCATGACCTGAGAAAGCGATTGGAAGCCGAGAAAAAGAAAGAGAAAATTGTTCAAAACATGAGTAACAACAACCATGACTTGCTAAGTTGTAGGTTTGATGCATATGTTAATCAGCTTGATTTGCAACAGCTTGAACAATTAAAAAAGTCTATGGAGGAGCTTAAGAAAAACGTGGCTCAGAGAGTTGATGAATTGAATTCGGAGGGTTCTTCCAAGCATGCACAAGAAGAAGAACAAGTGGAAAACACTGAAATAAATGACAATGATGTTTCTACTATTCCCCATGATTGGTTAAGGTTGTGAGAAGTGAAGCAATCTGAATAAAAATCGTTTCTCACCTTTTTTGCTTTTTCAGTGTATTCGATCCTAACTACATGTATCTAGTTATCTATTTTCATGTCTATCTTTGATATATTTGGATTCCAGAGAAAGTTATATCTAGATCCATCGTATGAAAAGCTTATGATTTTTATGATAAAAATTACGAATTTATGTGATGTTTTATATATATATATATTTTATTTCTTATTATCAGCGAAACAAGAAAAAGAAGCTAGAAGAAGAGTGCACACTGCCATCATTTAAAAAAAAAATGAAAAAAAAAAAAAACCTAGCTGTCTCAATTGTTTGTTGGGTCATTTTGATGTAAAAATTTTGAATGACAAATTTATGAAAATAAAATAAATGTTTGTGGTATCTTTATCCTTTGAGAAAAGAAATAAATGATTTTATTTTTTTTATTATCATTCTGAGATGAATAAGAAAGCAAAGTATGTGATATAAAATATAAATGAGATTTCTTTTTCTTCTCAGTATTATAAAAATTATACAACCAATCAGGTTATTTTCATTAAATCTCATCACTTTTAAATGAGAAATGAAAGTTTCAAAATATAAGTAATTTAATTCTCCCAATTTTTCACCTAATTTATCTACTACTATTATAAAGTGTGAAGAGTTTAATAGAATTTTGAGTTGTATGTTTGGTTATGAGTTGTAAGTTTTTGTATCAAACATCATCTGTCATATCAAAAATTTCCCACTCAATTCAAAACTCTTCACCAAACAAATTTTTCACACTCAAATCATAATTCTAAAACCCACAAACTCAAAATACAACTCATATTCTCAAATTATATTTACAAAACTCTACCAAACGCAACCTAGTTTTTCAATTTTTTTAATTTTTATTTTTTAAATTTGATATATGGCCCATTCAATTGACTAATAATGTGAACATATTTAATAATGTTCCTTGAAAGAGTTTAATTTTCTAAGATGGACAAATAATTTGTTATCAAGGATAACAGATTTTCTTCTAATATTCAGGGTCTATACATTAATTATTAGTTGGATTCACTAACTCTCATATTTAATAAGACAATCACATAAGGAGAAGTGCAGATTCTGGAGCCAAAAAAATATCAATGTAAAAATAGCAGTATTAACATTATGAATAATGCTTGGGACCCCCTTTTGGGGGTCACCCCCTCACCCCCTTTGCCATGTGGCGGGTGGTGATTGGAGGAGTAGGAAAAAAAAGAAAAAGAAAAAGAAAATGTAACCAATGAGAGAGAGGGGGTCAAAGGGGGTTGGGAAAAAGGGGGATGAATCATTGTTGTAACATTATATAAACCCCCTTTGCGTGTACTTGCATATATCTCATCCTTCTTACTGAGAAGTTTATTCACAAAAGAGTTTCTCGCTTTTTCTTTAATCATGGAGAGGAAGCAAACCCAAGGCCGAAAGAAGATTGAAATGAAGATGATAGCCAATGAAAACGCAAGAAGGATTACCTTCTCAAAGCGTAGACATGGGCTTTTCAAGAAAGCAAGCGAGCTCAGTACCTTATGTGGAGTAGATATGGCCATTGTCCTCTTCTCCATGGGAGGCAAGGCTTTCTCTTTTGGAAAACCTAATGTTGACTCGATTGTAGACCGCTTTCTGAACCAAAATGCGCAACCAAGTGAAGGCGTCTCTAGCCATGCCACCGGGCACGATGATGCCACTGTGCACCAACTCAACCAACAATTCCATGACCTGAGAAAGCGATTGGAAGCCGCGAAAAAGAAAGAGAAAATTGTTCAAAACATGAGTAACAACAACCATGACTTGCTAAGTTGTAGGTTTGATGCATATGTTAATTAATCAGCTTGATTTACAACAGCTTGAACAATTAAAAAAGTCTATGGAGGAGCTTAAGAAAAACGTGGCTCAGAGAGTTGATGAATTGAATTCGGAGGGTTCTTCCAAGCATGCACAAGAAGAAGAACAAGTGGAAAACACCGAAATAAATGACAATGATGTTTCTACTATTCCCCATGATTGGTTAAGGTTGTGAGAAATGAAGCAATCTGAATAAAAATCGTTTCTCACCTTTTTTTGCTTTTTCAGTGTATTCGATCCTAACTACATGTATCTAGTTATCTATTTTCATGTCTATCTTTGATATATTTGGATTCCAGAGAAAGTTATATCTAGATCCATCGTATGAAAAGCTTATGATTTTTATGATAAAAATTACGAATTTATGTGATGTTTTATATATATATATATTATTTCTTATTATCAGCGAAACAAGAAAAAGAAACTAGAAGAAGAGTGCACACTGCCATCATTTATAAAAAAAAAACCTAGCTGTCTCAATTGTTTGTTGGGTCATTTTGATGTAAAAATTTTGAATGACAAATTTATGAAAATAAAATAAATGTTTGTGGTATCTTTATCCTTTGAGAAAAGAAAATAAATGATTTTATTTTTTATTATTATCATACTTAGATGAATAAGAAAGCAAAGTATGTGATATAAAATATAAATGAGATTTCTTATTCTTCTCAGTATTATAAAAATTATACAACCAATCAGGTTATTTTCATTAAATCTCATCACTTTTAAATGAGAAATGAAAGCTTCAAAATATAAGTAATTTAATTCTCCCAATTTCTCACCTAATTTATCTACTACTATTATAAAGTGCGAAGAGTTTGCTATGTTTTTAATTTTTTTAATGGCTAGGCTTCTCTCCACTTCGAGATCGAACTAAAGCGTGTTGTTAGGCCCGTGGACGCCCACCACGGATCCTGTTTCGATGATCCGAATCGTTGAATGTGTAAAGCTCATTGAGTATTTTACCCTTGAAAAATATCACGTTGATCAGATGTTGATAGCTATTTGATCGGATAAGATTTTTGTCAACAATTTATTTTGAAAATTATATTTACCGTTGACAGAAATCTAATCCGATGAAGTAGTCATCAATATTTGATCAACATGATTTTTTATAGGGATAAAGTATTCGACAAGCTTTACATATTAAACAGTTCGGATTATTGAAACAAAACATGTGGTGGGCTCCACAGGCCCAACAACACCATCCACTCCACAAAGTGGACCGGAGACAAGCCTGACTTTTTGTTTTTAAATATCAATTTTATCTTCTCAAATTTATTATATTTTCTAAAAGTCATGAAGAGTACTACACAAATCAACTATCTCTTTATTTTTATTTTTTTGATAACTCAGGTATCCCCAACCCGCTGATTTTAAGGGAAGCCAGGACTAATCCTGAGGGCCTTGAAGTTAACGACCGGGCAAACCTCCAGTGGCCCCAAGGGGTGACTCGAACTCGAGACCTGTGAATTTTATCCTCCAGACTTTACCATTCGGCCACTTGCCTTGGGGTTAAATCAACCATCTCTTTATATTTAGAGTTGAACACTAAAAAATAATATATCTGCTTTCAAAAGTCTTATATAAATATAAACAAATGGGCAAATTGTACTAACAGTCCCTATAGTTTGAGGCTTGTGTCACTTTAGTCTTTGACTTTTCAATTGTAACACATTTGATCTTAAATTTTGAATCTAATTCCAAATATGGACAATTGAAGATTTCATTACTTAATTTCAAGGACAAAATTGTTAATTTGATAAAATATAAACTAATCTGACAAAAATAAATGTCAAAAAAATATTTTTAAAATTTTTAAAATTATTACTACCCACTAAAGATAAATTTTGCAAAATTGATAAATCTTTTAGACATTTATTTATTTACCAAATTAATTTTTATTGTGTATTTGGATGATGATCATGCAATGAGTGATTGTTTTTATTTTCATTAAATTAGTTTCTGTTTTTTCAAAAGTCAAATATGGCAACAACTTTGATATCATTATTAAACCAATTCATTAAATCAAAAAATCCAAAACTAAAAACATTTCATATATTAAATATATCGATTACACATTAAATCTTAACAACCACTCATCATATGATCATTATCCAAACATATAACAAAAATTAATTTGGTAAAAAAAAAATGTCTAAAAGATTTATTAATTTTACATAATTTTATCTTTAGTGGGTAGAAATAATTTTTAAGAATTTTAAAATATTTTTTTGACATTTATTTTTGTCAAACTAATTTATATTTTATCAAATTGGCGATTTTGCCCTTGAAATTAAGTAATGTTGTCTTCAATTATTCTTATTTGAAACAAGATTCAAAATGTAGGGTCAAATGTGTCACAATTGAAAAGTCAGGAATCAAAGTGACACTAACTCAAAACTATAGAGACTATTGGTGTAATTCGCCCTAAACAAATTATCTCTCTTCTTATAAAATAAATGAATAAATAAAATAGAATAGAATAGTCTTCATATTTTTTACAGTGGTGATGATTAAAGATCAAAAACTACTTTTTAAACTTTCTGTAACTACTTCTATATTGACATACATAATATTTACAATTATTCATCATTGGTCAAATTGTTGTGAGTAATTTTGGTTGAATCTTAAAGTTGTATGCATTTGTTCAAATCTAGACAGAAGAAAACGTATGCAATTTTAAAATAATGATTGGTGCTGCATTTCAAAAATTCACAAGTAATATTCATACAATTTCTTTTTATTTAAATTATATTTTATGAATTATAATATTTTATATGGTACTTTAATAACAAATATATGATATCAAAATTCTAAATAAGAACAACTTTCGTTGGTTTTATTTTTTAAATTTGCTTTTTAGCTTTTGATTTTTCATATTTTCTCAATTTTGATAATTAAAGATACTGAAGTTTCTTAATATTTTATATTTAAATTATACTTTTACGTGAAAATCTAATATCTACTAATTTAAATAGAATTAAAAAGTAAAATATTAGTAAAAAATTTATAATTTCAAACATGTACTGATTTTTTATTATTATATTTTTTTGTTATTATTATTATTATTATTAGTTTTTTTTAGGGCTGAGCAAAGAATCTGTGAAATCCGTAACCTGATCCGGTCCGGTTCAGTCCAATCTGGTAGGTTTGGATTACTTTTTTGAATCCGTAGTTTGGTTCCGGATTGAAAAAGTAAAAATCTGTACCCGAATCGGTTCCGGATTGAACTTCACGGTTCCAGATTAGAACCGATCCGGACCGTATACAAATAGCCTATACTTATATTATACACCCTTCCACATAATATTTTTTCTTATTCCATATAAAACCTAAATCCAAATCTAAACCTGAATAGTATTTTCTTTGATTGCTTTTGTTTGTTGATTTTTATTTTTAATTTGTAATGGTCTAAATACTTATGATGGAATCAATTTTCTTATGGTTGTTTAAATTCTAAAACAGTATGTCGCTATTATGGAAAGACGCGTTGTTATTGTAGAACTAATATGATGCTATATTTATATTTTTATGAAACTTTTGTTATTTAATTATGTGAATTCATTGTCCTAAACCGATACAATCTGTGTTTAAATGAATTGGTTTGGATTGGTTCCATGATTTAAATGGATTGAATTGATTCTAATTTTTCAAGAACTGTAGATAACGGTTTTATCCCAATCCAGACCATGCTCAACCCTAGTTTTTTTCAAAAAGAATACACAATAAATTATTTTCTAAGTGTGTTTAGATTAAGTGAATCTAAATCTAAATGTAAAATTAAAAAATAAAAAAATATTAAATTAAGTGAATCTAAATTGAAAATAAAAAGGGTTAATACAAAAAATAGTGTCAAAGATTAAAAAAAAAATGAAAACCCAAAAATTCAAAATAAAAGTTTGAGAAAAGAAATCAAACCAAATCACACACTATAAACTTCTCTTTTTTTTAAAATCTTTCTTAATTAATCTCTAATTTTACACAAATTATTCATAAATTCCATTCAATTTTTATATGAATTTAATAATCTAATTAAAAAATGGAGCATACACACAAACATGTAACACTAAACATCTACATTATGATCAACTATTTATTTATGAATAATTAACTTATCATTGTTACCTGTATTATATTGTTACAAAAGATTTCACATATTACTTTTGTGATATCTTATATATGTTAATATCTACATATATAAATAATATATATATATATATATATATGCAAATTTATATATGTTACTTTATTCATACATTGTCCGTCAATATGTAGTACAATATTACCATCGGATACTTTAATTTTCTAACATGTATCGCTTTAGTAATATAGTTATATTTGGTAGGAACAAATTGCAGAACGGTGTATTGTTCTCTATCAACTTATGTTCAATACACATATACATACATGTTATACAAACAAATGTTCACAATAAACACTTTCAATAACAAATCAGGACTTTGCAAAATACCTAAATCACGACAATAATGCACTTATTATATATATATATATATTTTTCCACTACAATTGTATAGCAATTATATACTAATGACTAATGTTATATTTTTTTATCATGTAAGATATTCGTAAGAACAGGAAACGAGATGCAACAACTCTTGATGTATAAAATATATTGCATATTAATATTAATACA